TCCCCTTTCCTCTATCTTTCTGGAGCAAACAGCCCCAATATGAGATAAATATACAAAATGCAGGTTTTGAGGAGGCTTGTTTAGAGAACTTCTGGGGTAAAATAGGAGAAAATAAGGCAGAGCAAAGACCTTGGAAGGATACATTGTTTGAAGTGGAGGTTTATGGGAAATAAAGCAGAAGCAATGGTGCAGCTCTAGCACAGCTGAAAAAGTACTCTGATATTTTAAAATAAAAAGAGGATGGGGCTCAAGATAGAAAACCAACTATTTATTAATTGGTGAAGAAAGTGCCACTGTCAATGTTAAATTATTAAGGTCTGTCAGAGCTTCACTGTTTATAAACCTTTGAGTTTGAGATGCTAATAATTAGTCTGAGAGTCATGTATCTTGTCTAAGATGAAGGAAACCTTAGATCAGAAGGATCCAACTGGCAGAACTGGTTCATAGAATCCTATTGGTCATGGAGTCTCCTGCTGGAGTATGGAGCCTCTCTACAAACTAAAAGTACCTTCCTTGTAATGCTTTTCCAGGCAGTTCCTGCTGCTGATCTCAGCCTCTCCCAGGAGCTCTATCTTGAGTTCCTGTGAGCACATGACACCTGGAGATGACACTACTAGGAAGTACTGTTAACTGGTGTTAATGCGTTTGACTAAAAGTCAGCAAACTTCTGTTTTTCTCCAGCCTAGACTTTAACCCACAGTTACCTTTAGGAAGGGCATAACAGTTGACTGGGGGTATGGCTTAATGTTTGTAACTGCTGCTTGTTTCCCCCCACACTCCTTAAAGTTAAAAGACATGGATAGGTAGGTGGGCCATAGTGATAAATTCCAGAAACTGTCATAGTCAAAAGCCTCTCAGAGATAGTACAAGCCAAAATCAGTTCACTTTGATCAGGAACAAACACAATCTAGATCAGTACAACTAGCTTCAGAGTTGTTATTGACAAATATTACTCCAAGGATACAATTAACTATCCCACATAAAAGGGAGTAAGTCCCACCTGGGCAAGAAGAGGTATCTATTTCATGGCAGTGAGTCTACATGTTCAAATTTTATCTAGCTGGGGTGAAACGCCACTTCTCCAATAAATGCACTCAAATCTCTTCAGGGAACAAGGTAGACAATGGCATCCAGGACATATGAACATGAACACTGGAAAGGATGAACATGTCCCAGAAAGGATCCCAACACTTAATAAAGACTGTTGTCATACCCCAAAACTACCCTTTGAGTTAGGTTAGTATTATTACCCCACTTTAAGAAAAGAAAAAGGCATACTATAGATAAGTACAAGGATTTCAGTGTGTCCCCAAAGTTCCTATGTTGGAAACTTAATCCATAATGTAAGTTTGAGAGATGAGACTTTTAAGAAGTGATTAATGCTGGGCATTAGTGGCTCATGCTTATAATCCTAGCTACTCAGGAGCCTGAGATCTGAGGATCACAGTTCAAAGCCAGCCCGGGCAGGAAAGTCCTTGAGACTCTTATTTCCCATAAACTACCAGAAAACTGGAAGTGGTGCTGTGGCTCAAGTGGTAGAGCACTCACCTTGAGCTGAAGAGCCCAGGGACAGCACCCAAGCCAAGCCCCGACCAACCAAAAACAAAAACAAAAAAAGTGACTAGCTCAAGTTTCTGAATGGATTAATGGCCTTATTTCTGGAGTGAGCCCATTAATTCAAGTAGAGGTCTCCTAGCGAGCCACTGGGAGGAGAGGCCTAGTTAATCAGCACCATAACATGGTTACTTTGCTTTGTTTACCTTTCACAAAAACCCATTTGAACTATACTTACAGAGAATACACCCAGAAGCCAACCAAACAGAAAACTTTCTATTTTAAGTGCCACTATTGTTATCTGATTTAGACAGAAATAAAATAATTATAGTAAATCAGATACATTCAAATTAGTTCTACCTTCTACCAAATTTGAGCATTTAAAAAAACAGCCTTAAGGGGCTGGAAGGTGGCTCAGTGGTAGAGCACTTGCCTTGTATGCCTGAGGCCCTGGGTTTGATTCCTCAGCACCACATAAGCAAAAAGAAAAAAGCTGGAAGTGGCGCTGTGGCTCAAGTGGTAGAGCGCTAGCCTTGAGCTGAAGAGCTGAGGGACAGCGCCCAGGCCCAGAGTTCAGGCCCCATGACCGGACCCAAAAAAAAAATTGCAAAAAAACAGCCTTAAGAAGACTAAAGGGAATCCTGCTGACCCCTGTACTGATGATCCTACAGCCAGGCTCCAGTTTACATAAGCCATTGATGCAGACTCTCACGGGTTACAGGAATCCAGAGAAGGAATGAGAAAAGGCTTACAAGCTGTAAGGATTAAAAAGGAGATAAGGCACCCAAGAAAGTTGTCAGGATAACCACAGGGCAGGAACTGTTAGAAATTCACCTTCAAGAATCAGTTTCTCAATGATCTGGAATAATGTTTTTCTACTGAACCAACAACCCCTACCTACCTGTTCATATACACAGACTGGGACCCTTAGCCTGAGAAGTTCCTCCATCTAGCCTGTGTAGGAACATGGCATGAGTCAGCTCCATGGAACATGATTGGAAGAGAAAGTTGATGCCCGCATCATAAAGCAGACTTCTGATGAGCTAGTTAAGTAAAACATGCAATGCTCCTGAAATGGTGACCCTTCTTGCTGACACAGATCAACATTTGTAATCTACAGTGACTTTCCATGAGATTTACTTCAATGCACAGTTCATGGTCTACATTAACATAGGAAAAGAGCTCTAATCCTTCCTGCTAGTGGTCAGAGTATTTGGAATTGTACATGACCAGTACTAATAGAGCAGAGCCAGTCTTTGGTACTGACAACTGAGGTACAGGTACAGGAGAGGTCTGTGGTCTTCAAATTGATTTTTTCTTCCAGACTTTTGTATACTATTGACTGCCTTAAGCTGTATGATAAGAGACACCAGTTAGCTTGCTGAACATTCTTTTCAGTAAAGTTCATGATACTTCAGATCCTTTTTTTTTTTTTTTTAAACCAAAGCTTTATAGCACACTTGGGCTTCAGGAATTGGGACCTTTTGTTAAAGAGATTGGGACCTTGCCCTGGATTCAGGTGCTTCCCTTGGAAGGAAACCAACCAACTATCTTTTTTCTTTAGTGACTAGCTTGCTTACTGACACAACGCAAGCATCTGCATGGCTGTGTCTCATGAACTAGATTCTCTCTGCATTAGGAATCTAGAGAGTTTGCCAAACTTTTTGAAGTCATCAGTGTGGCAGAGGCACACAGAGTAGAGGTAGAGTATCTGGAGTCCATAGAAAAGTAGCAGTCAGTTCCACTTGCTAAAGAGACTCACCAGTTCTATACCCATTGGTTTGCAGCCGGAAGCTGCCTGAATAGACCTCACTACTCTGAATCCACAAAGGAAGCTGCCTGACCAGGGAAAGAAGGCAATGGGTAGGAGAAAAGAGAAAGATGGAGAAATTAAAAATCAGGACAGTAGAGTTTTCATTTCCCACACTAAACTATATCCACTCCCCTCTGCAGTACCACTCATAGGTTGGATGGTTTAGCCAAGTCATGAAGGAAAGGGAATGACACTGTTGGGGAAGAATCATTTTTAATCAATCTAAGGAAAAATTAAAGAGTAATGAATGGAGTTGATATTATGCATGTGTCCTCAGAGCCCTTCATTTGGAAATTTACTTCTTAGGAACTGCCTTTCAACTTCCCCATCGCCTGCCAAGCAATAGGAAGAGCAGGCTGAGTTGCCTGCTCACTATACTCCAAAGTGGAATATTTTCAGGCTTCGAGTAAAGACTTTATGTCTACCCATTGGTTTTTTGTTTATATTTGCCTTCACCTGCTGAAATCCCTTCCTCTCTTTTTTGGTGTAGAAATATAGAAAGGGAGGGGTGATGGGAAGGGGAAAGAAAGGAGGAGGCAACAATGCTTGATAAGAAGTGTACTCATTACCTTGTCCATGTAATTGTAACCCCTCTGTACGGTATTTTCATAAAAAACAAAACAAAACAAAAACAAAACATAGAAATACTATTACTATGAGAAGACTAGTAGCCTAGGGATGAAAGGCAGGAAAGATGATAATTAAATGAACAGCTCACAGAATATTCAAAATTCTACAAACTTCTGCGTTGTCCAATTGTGGACACACCCAACCTGAAGACTTCTTGTATCCAAGGAAAAAATCTGCTTGCTATTATCAAAAATCAAGAGCAGGTCATTGTTTACCAACTAAAAGCTGTCCTTTTATCTTAAATCATTGATTTGCTGTTTTTTCTTACTCTCACCAAGCTTTATGGCTCAGTCTGGAGAAAAAGAAAACCAGCTGTTTAGAGGGACTTGATGTCTTTGCTAGGTAGGTAACTGGGTCTAATCACCCCAAAAGTTTCATCTCTCTAAGGATGAGATCTTGTTATCTACGTCTTTAGAAGTGGTGCCTGGGGATTAGTGGTAAAGAGCTTGCCTAGCATGCACGAAGCCCTGGGTTCAATTCCTCAGTACCACATACACAGAAAAAGCTGGAAGTGGCATTGTGGCTCAAGTGGTAGAGTGCTAGCCTTGAGCACAGAGAGGCTCAGGCCCTGAGCTCAAGCCCCAAGACTGGAAAGAAAGAAAGAAAGAAAGAAAAAAGCTCGAATGCACTGTGACTCAAGTAGTAGGGTGCTAGCCTTGGGCAAAAGGAGCTCAGAAGCAGTGCCCAGGCCCCGAGTTCAAGCCCCAGGACTGGCAAAAAAGAAAAGAAAAGAAAGGAAAAGAGAAGAAAGGAAGGAAGAAAGTCAAACAAAGACTTATCTGGGACAAAGTTCAACATATCAGATACCACAAAAGTTGTCTAGGCTTTGGAAGGAAAACAGACTAATGATTGAACCGTAGTTTGCTTAGAGGACAATGAAGAAAGAAAGTTGTTAGAAATACATCAAAATGTACTGCAAATAGAAGGAATTAGTAGATCAGCTCAGCATCATAATGTGAAATTTGTTGGCTTTTGATATTTTTTATCATGTTCAAATTTATTCATTTTTAAAAATTCACAAATAAAATTGTATTCCTTTATCAGGTACAACATTTCTGAAAGTATGTGTTGTAGAATTGTTAACTCTAGCTAATTAAAATACATGTCACCTCAAAAAAATTATCAAAACTTTCCATTTAAAAAGAATAGTGTACCAGAACAGATTAAGGTCATCTTTAGTATCCTGGTAACATTACTCAGTAGTTAATTAAACTGCCCAGCTGGCTTTGGAATAGAAACCTGGACAATCCCAAACTCAGCTACTCTTATGGCTTCCATCTCCAGTTCTTTTAATCCTGGCCAAGACGGCAGCCTTGGATACCTTCTTCCGATCATAAGCCAGTCCAAGGGCAGCCATGCAATCGATGAAAAATGTGGTGAGGTTGATGTGCCAGCGGTACTCACTGGCAGAGTAATCATAGGGGAAGGTGTGGTGGTAATTGTGGAAGCCCTCACCTGGAAGAGAAGCAAAGAGAAATTAGGGAGCTTAGGGGATTGCTTTTTCCCATCTTTGTATAATACCTCTTGTCTAGTAAGTACCTCAGACCTCAGAGAAACCTGCTGTTACTGAGTACATGGCAAATCCAATGTCTTCTACACTGAAGTAAATAAGATTCTTTCAGAGGCATCTTAAGCAATGAACTGAAGGGTCCTGGTTATACAATACATGGCTTTGCAGAGGAAGTTTCTCTCAGAGGATAAGAGAGAAATTGATTCTGTTTGGAAGATTTTATACTAAAAAACACCAGAGCTTTAGGAAATACTTTTCATGTGCATTTGGATGAGAATGAGGTAGGAAGAAGGGGTTTCTAAAGAACTGTGGTTATGCTTTTTACGAAGTTGAGTAAGCAGCACACCTTCCTCATTGAAATGGTAGTCTCTGTAAGGCTGAGAGATACCAATGGAAAAGAGGGCAGTGGCCAAAAGTAAAAAAGGGCTAGAAGCCCGCTGAGGGTTGCAGTATCAGGCTCCTGAGCCTGTGCTGCGGTCCTGGCTGGTCAGTGTAGGAACCTTCTCAATAAAGTTGCTTCCTTATTAACAACAACAACAAAGAAAAGGGCTAGAATTCCCCCCTCAGGTTTAACCCTGGGATAGGAGAGGTGGTGACAAAATAAGACTCATAGAATTAGGCTGGATAGTTTGATAGACACAAGGACACAAATTCTGCATTCATCATAATTTCTGTAGAGGGTAAAGCATTTTCTAGTTTCTTGACGGCACGTCCTAAGTAAATTCTAGTACTAGTAATGATTCTTATAAATTCAGAGTAGGACCAACATAAATAACAAGAGGAGATCCTGATAACAAAATGACATCTGGTATTTCTCAAGGTGGTCCTCCCTCTGTACCCTGAATTGTGCATGCTTGAACTGAGCAAAGCAGTTGGAATAATGCCAAGAGTACTGACAAAAGTACTGCTAACTTCCCCACGGCTTTCATTTCACAGCCAGACTGAGTGAGCATTCACCAGGCCTATAGGTGTCTGATTTCAAATGAATTACATATACACACATAGACAAGGACAAGCAGGAGGCCAATGGGTAGCAACTAAGGCAGCAAAGACACCCCAGGAATGCTCCAGAGGAAGGTCAGCTTTGTTACAGAGACAATGAGTAAGTATGTGACTGTGGGAGAAGTCATTTAAGCAGCCAAAAGATTAGAATGTCTGGAAATAACTACAGAAGAGCAAAAAACATGAGGGGAGAACAGGTTTGCAGATGTGGTTATTCCTATTTTTTTTTAATCCTCATATTTGTATAGCAAGGTGGTTTATTTCAAACATAAAGAACATACAAAAGGGAGGAAGGTCCTTGAAAAGAGTGAGAAAAGCTGTGGAAGTCAAAGAAATAGAGGGAAAAAAGCTTTAAGGCATTAAAAAATGTGATTTAGGGAGCTGGGAATGTGGTATAGTAGTAGAGCATGCTTGAAGCCCTGGGTTCGATTCCTCAGCACCACAGAAAAACCTAGAAATGGCTCTGTGGCTCAAGTGGTAGAGTGCTAGCCTTGAACAAAAAAAAAGCTCAGGGACAGCATCCAGACCCTAAGTTCAAGCCCCAGGACTGGGAAAAAAAAATGACTTCAAGAAGTAGCACTGTGGCTCTAAGTGATAGAGCACTAGCCTTAAGCAGAAAAAAGTTGAAGGACAGTGCTCATTCCTAAGTTCAAGCCCTACAACTGACCAAAACAAAACAAAAAAGTGACCTGGATGAGGGCTGGGAAGGTGGCTCAGTGGTAGAGCACTTGCCTTGCATGCGTGAGGCCCTGGGTTCGATTCCTCAGCACCACATAAGCAGAAAAAAAAAAAGCTGGAAGTGGTGTTGTGGCTGCAGTGGTAGAGCACTAGCCTTGAGCTGAAGAGCTGAGGGACAGCACCCAGGCCCAGAGTTCAGGCCCCACGACCGGACCCCCCCCCAAAAAAAAAGTGATCCGGATGAGATTATGCAGAAAAAAATATATATTAATAGGAAGAAAATGAGTGTTATGTAATGACTGAGCACAGACCTGTGAACAGGGTGGTTGCTTAGGTGTCATTGAAAAAAATCAAAGTTCTGACAACTGATGTAAAGAAGCCACTAGGTTTGCACAGTGCAAACTAACTTGAAGCCTTAGTCCAAGTCTATATTCACTTGGAAGGACAGGGAGAAGCAGAAAACTTGGTAGAACCCAATTTTCTTTGACTTGGCAATAGGAACTGATTTTGTGGGGAAGTCAACATCACTTCACAGGGCAGAAACTTCTGTTATAAGTATCTTTGAAAGAACATTTGGAAACTTAAGTTGTTTCACAACTTAAAATGTAAAGTAGAATGATTTTTTACCCTTTCCACAAGACTTGATTCTCCTAAGTTTCCCAATATGTCACCACTTAGTTTTTCTTATAGAAAATCTGAGCTACACAATGCTTATAAAACCAGCCCATTCCAGTTCTTCTAGATTCTAGCCAAATACCCTTATCAGCAGACAAGTAGATGTGGTCTTGCTTTTCACTGCCAACTTACCCACAGCTCCCAGTGAAACCAAGATATTCTCTCGAGACTCAATGTTCTTGTCATATGGGCGGTATCCATAGAGGTGGGCAGCACTGTTCACCAGCCAGGTGGCATTGAGCACGACGGCATATCGCAGGAAAGTGCCAACAAACAAACTGTGTTTAAAAGTTTCACCCCAACAATACCAGGGCACCAGGGTGGGCAAGATGAAGCACATCAACAGGAGACCAGGCTTGTAGTACCTACATGAGAGACCACACACGTAGTTTTGGGAAAAGGACTCATACACATATCTGGATTGTCCAGTTTCACTGGACAGGGCTGTCTTTTTCCCTACAATATGCAATCACTGGGGGCAAAAGTCAGCAGGAGAGAATGCAGTCTCTTGAGCAGTTATTTAGATGAGTCAGTGTAGATGTGTTAAAAGGAAGCATGTGCAGTAGCCTTTACCAGATATGTCTCTGTCCTTATGTAAGCCCTTGTTCTTCTCTTCATTTTCATATAGACCAGGCCGTCCACATTCCAGAGAAATTGGTTAGCAGTCACAGCTTCAGCTTTGATGTTACTGATATTCCTTGCAGCCAATTACTTCTCATTCCTGTCACTGCTACCTTGTATTTCTAACTTGCATCCCTGCCTATGACCTTTTGGCTCAATGATACTTATCACCTACATTTCTTTTTCCCTGTTTTAATTTTATTGTCAAGATGATGTACAAAGGGGTTACGGTTATGTAAGTAAGGTAGTGGGCACATTTCCTTTATTTTGGGGGGGGTCCAGTCGTGGTGTCTGAACTCTGGGCCTAGGCGCTGTCCCTTAGCTCTTCAGCTCAAGGCTAGCACTCTACCATTTGAGCCACAGCACCACTTCAGGCTATTTTTTTCTTTCTGCTTATGTGGTGCTGAGGAATCAAACTCAGGGCCTCATGCATGCAAGGCAAGCGCTCTACCACTGAGCCACCTTCCCAGGCCTAGTGGGTACATTTCTTGCCTAACTTGTTAGCTCCTCCCAGTTATCACCTATGTTTTTAACTTGTATCCTTGCCTCTCACCTTTTGGCTCAAGGATACCTGTCCTAATAGTTATCTCTCTACAGCATACCTGACTGTGACACATGGTGCTGGAGAATCCTTTAGTGGGTTCCTATGCCAAATGAACTAATCCTAGGTCTGTGCCTGGGACCCCACAGGAAGGGCATCAGATTGTTATTGGAGTCCTTCCTCCTGTCACATGCCTCAAGCAGAGAGACTATGGTTCAGAAACATGTTTGAAGTTTAGTTTACTCTGTTTTACCCATCTCTGCTCACCCAAACTTGGAACAGGCTCTATTTCTGAGTGGCTGCTGATGCTTCTTTGCAAATAAATCCCTCCTTTAGGTTCCCATTAACCCATCTCATGGTGTATAAGCAGTAGAATACTGCTTTGCTTCATGGTCAGTTGGGTATTTACATTATCCCTCCAACCCCCTCTAAGCTAAAAATTCCATTAAAGGCAAGGACTGGCTGAATTCATTTTTCAATTATGAATATCCTAGGTTGGTAAACATTTGTGGCATTTAATTGCTTTTAATAAGATAGCTTATATAGGAAGTAACATTTGAATTTTGTTTAATGCTTTGAACTTACAAAGATACCACTTAGCTATTATTTTATAAGTTCTAAGAGGAGAAAGTAGAGCCCAAACCCCACATTCCCAGAACCATCGTCCTTCACTCACCTCCTCTGGAACATCACCAGTTTCTCAGCTTTGAGGTCAGACATATCCAGCAAACCACCCTTCTCTTTGACAGCTGGGTGTTTGCGCACAAGCAGCCAACCCACGTGAGAGAAGAAAAAGCCACGGCGAGAATTGTGAGGATCAGCATGAGTCTCTGAGAACTTGTGGTGGGCGCGGTGATCTCGGGCCCATTCATACACGTCATTCTGGATGGGACAGAAGGGAAAACTAGACCTTAGAGATGCCCACTAGAGAGGATTGGAGTGTCCAGATGTCTGCAAGGGCCCAGAGCTCTCAGCCCAACTTCACAGTCCTCAAGTTTTTAGCTACAAAAGAGGTTTAGGGGGCTGCTCTCTCATGAGCACTTTTCCTGATGCTTATGTAGAAAGTCAACTTCTAATCCCAGAGCACAGGTATAGAACTACTATTCTTGGTTATATATATGGTAGGGAGAAAGTCACAGCACTCAGGGAATATCATTAGTAAAGAACAAGACAAGCTTCAAGCAAGGAATGTGAGATAGGATCCTTATGGAGTGCCCAGTCCTTGGACAAAAAGAATATGAGGCAGCAAAATCCTAGGGTGCTATTCTATGGATAAAGGTGCAGCAAGCTCTATCCTAATGCCTTCACAAGTAGTAGCTTGCCAACCAAATACCAAGGCTCTCTGTATTTGTCTGGGATTCTGTCTAGCATTACAGTAATGTACCTATGTCTCTTCTTTCCCTCTGCCTCACAAGGACCTTATGGGCCTCAAGGAACAAGTAGCCAGAGTAGAGATGATCACACACATGTGCTAAGAACCTCAGATAGTAACAAGAAACAGGGAACGTAAGTTGGTTTACTATTTCCCTCTTGCTCCAAGCTGAAGCCTCATGTGACAAGCATGACAGTCCCCTATCCCCAATTCCTGTCAGCATGTTATATACCATTCTATGGTTGACTTAGCCAGAACAGGCAACTCCAGACTGGATAAGGGATGTCCATCCAACCTTTTTGTGGTTTGCTTCCCTCATATGTAAAAGGGGGCTAATTACAGCACCTAAGATGGTTGTGAGGATTAACGAGTTAATCTATGTCAACCACTTAGCACAGTACCCAGGACATAGCCAGCGGTATGCAAATATGTTATTATCAATAGACTTCCTGAGTCTGTCCCACATCACATTCCATCCTTAAGATCTTAGAAATTCTTAAAAAGTTACTTCAAAGCATGAGTTTAATGTCCACTGTCCATCCAGGAAACCAGTCACCCCCTTGTGTATGTGCTATGTCCCATTAGGTTAAAGGACCACAGACTGTATGGTAACTGGGACCTTGGGATCACAAATAACCCTATGCTTTGTAAGCTATTCTTATTTACTGTTTCCCTTCTCAATGACTATGAAGTATCCCAGGCTTGATGGACACCAATACTTTGAAACTAGAAAGGTTGCTCTGCTGAGGCTCCTCTCTGGATGCCAATGCCATCCATCATAGAATAGAGACAGCTGCTCACCTGGAATGCCATGGTGTTGGCAATGATGAGGAAGAGCCTCAGAGGCAGCCGTGCTTTGTAGGTCCGGTGGCTCCACAGGCGATGAGCCCCTGCTGTGATGCCCAGGGCACTGTATACATAGCAAAGATATGCTGCAGGAGAAGACAAAGGGGGAGTCAAAGGCAAGTTCCACCAGGGGAAACATGTCACAGACACTCTCCTGATACCATAGTGTCCAGAGTCACAATAGAAAAACTGGAACCAGCCGGGCACTGGTGGCTCATGCCTATAATCCTAGCTACTCAGGAGGCTGAGATCTGAAGAGCACGGTTCAAAGCCAGCCGGGGGAGGAAACTCTGAGACTCTTATCTCCAATAAACCAGAAAACGGGAAGTGGTGCCAAGTGGTAGAGCACTCCCTTTGAGCTGAAGAGCCGAGGGACGTACCTAGGCTGAGTTCAAGCCCCATGACTGACCAAAAAAAAAAAAAAAAAAGAAAGAAAAAGAACCACAGAAGCTAGGTTTTTCTGTCAATAAGGAGTTTCTGATCTAGCTCTACTATCCACTACCCATGATTTGTGCTCAGTTCTTATTGTCTCTCCTTTGCCCCATCCTTTTGTTAGCCCAGTCAATACTAATTCTAAACAAATGTTGGGAGGTACTCAACATTGACAGCTGAGTATTATCTTGCAACATGCCTGCAGGCATAGTAGCTGCCAGAACCTGAGATGTAAGATGGAAAAGGTACTACAAATAGACTTTACTTTCTGATTGGCAGCTCTAGGAGGCAGGAGCCCAGGCCTTTGCAGAAAGTTACCCCCCCCCAAAAAAAATACAAAGTCTCACTTTAGGAGCAGCTTGAAACAATGGCTCCTCAGTGCTTACAGATTTTAGTTCCATAAGCAATACCATGCATTGTAACTATTTGTCCTATGTTCTGCTGAACCAAGATAAAAGTTTCCAAATAGTCTCCTTCCCTTCCTCCTACACATTATCCTGTTCTTTCTTTACTATCACCAGGGGAGTCAGAGTCCACATCTGCCCCAGCAAAGTTTTGGCTATATTTTCTCTGAGCTGGGACTGAATCCCAAGGTGATTTGCTGCCTTTGGCCATGTGGTGAGTGAAGTTTTCTTCCCACATGTAGTATTTGGTGGCACCTAAACATGGAGCACAGCGGAGCCACAGTCCTTCAGTCAGAGAAAGGAAGGAATTTTGCTTCAAGTAAAGGAGAAGCTCTTAGTTGAGAATCATGGAAAAACCACACATTTGTTTCACATTTTAATTGGCTCTGGTATATTGGCTTCTAAAACACACTTGATCCCATATTTTTTTTTCCCCTGTTGGTTCTGGGATTTGAACTCAGGACTACTCCCTGCCCCTTAGTTTTTTGTTTTGCCTAAGGCTGGCTGGCGCTATACCACTTGAGCCACACCTTCAATTTGGACCTTTTGCTGGTTAACTAGAGAGAAGAGTCTCTAGGATTTGTCTTCTGGGGCTGGAAGATAGGATTACAGGTATGAGCCACCATCACAGGCTTTTTTGTTTTTTGCCAGTCCTGAGGCTTGAACTCAGGGCTGGGCACTGTCCTTGAGCTTCTTTTGCTCAAGGATAGCACTCTTCCACTTGAGTCATCCTGGCTTCCGGCTTTTTCTGTTAATGTGGTACTGAGGAATGGAACCCCAGGCCTCATGCATGCTAGGCAAGCACTCTTATCACTAAGCCACATTTCTAGCTCCCATCACAGGCTTTTTGATCCCTTAATGTGATGAAGATTTGTTCTACCCACACCTCTTAGTTTATCAAAGGGAAGGCTCGAATCACTTAAACTCATCTCCTTCCACTTCCCAGTGGAAGGACAGTTACTGTCAACACTATTTTTAGCAACATACTATAACTTTGTCCTAAGAAGTAGGTAGGATGGGTTTTGTACCCAGCCCTGTCATAGGGCTCTTCTAGAGTCAGTAAGACCCAGAAAGCACTGTAAATAGCCACGTCAAGAGGAAGAGGAATGCTGGGAGTAACACATAACTAGCATAAGGAACATCATCTTCCTAATTCTGACAAGTGTCCCCACTTGGTACTTGGAAAAGACTTCCAAGACAAATCTGGAGGGAGCAGAACTCTCAGATCAGCCCTTCTGCACTAGTACCTTCCAAAAGACAGAGGAAAAGAGCCCATATTTGAAACTGCTCCAGAAAACTTCCATTTGTAGACCCACTTGGGCTAGTAGAGCCATACATCTGCACCCTTGGGCTAAACAGGACCCTTGTTCATCTTCCTCCAGGTAGTTCTGGCCAGAAGGTCAGATCCCAAAAGTTTTATGGACTACCCTTTACTATTCTTCCCTTTTCAGTCAACACTCTTCCTGAGCCTTATTTCTTCCCTTTTTATTTGGGGGGGGGTAAAGGGTAAGGGAAGTGGGCAAGATCCTGCTATGTACCCCACATTGATCTTGAGCAGGTTATGTAGCCTTGATATTCCTCTTCCTCCTCTTTCTTGAGACTACAGGCATGCTTCTTTATATCCAGTCCCCTTGCTGTTATCTGACTGGGCTCCATGTAGTTTATGAAGCCCCAGCTCTGGCATGGGTTCCCATGTGAAGGGACCCCCACAACTGAATCATAATCCCACTAAACTCTTTACTTAATCCTGTCAAGAGAACTTGGTCAAATAGAGGACACTGCCCTGTGTGGGACCACACCTCATTAAAGAGCAGGGAAAAACCTGGGCACTGGTTCACGATGAAGGAAGCTGCTTACCCCAGAGCCAGGTGTAGGCCTTGCAGCCAGGAACCAGGGTGATCCCATACAGGGCTCCCAGGTGCAGCAGAGCCATGAGGATGATGTTTCTCCACACATACTCAAGCTTCGGTGCGGGGCCCACCTCATCCTGGTAGGTGGGGTCATGGATGTCCTCTTTCATTTCAGGGCGGATGTCATCTCCCAAGTCCCGGAGAGTCTTTTCGAAGTTTTGTTTTCCATTCTTCAGGCCCCCAGATGGAGGCGCTGTGATGGTAGTGGTGGTGGTGTAGGAGCTGGAGATCTGTAAGGAAAAGGAGTGCAGAATTAGGAAGGCAGAAGGGGGTACTTCCTTCTGTACTGCCACGGGGGGAAGGATACACAGTAAAGCCACAGATTCTCCCAGTGTACTTAGAAATGGAACAGGAGAATGCTGGGGGCTGGTAGCTCACACTTGTAATCCTAGCTGCTCGGGAGGCTGAGATCTGAGGATTACAGTTGGAAGCCAGCCTGGTCAGTGAAGTCAGACTCTCATCTCCAATTAACCAGCAAAAAGCCAGAAGTGGAGCAGTGGCGCTAGCCCTGAGAAGGGGGAGGGGAAAGAGTTTAGGGACAGCACCCACGGCTTGAGTTCAAGTCCCAGGACTGGCAAACACCAAACAAAACAAAACACGGAAAATTTCCAGAAAACTAGGAGGAGATTTTTGGCAAAACTCAACATAAAACTCGCCCTCCTAGCATTACACAAAGGACCCCCCCACGTAGGCACAAAGGTTCCTCACGCCTGGGTCTCTCACTTTGTTCAAAGCTCAACAAAAATTGGGGAGATACCAGCCTAAAGTACAGCCGCCTCCCCCGAGCGAGGGCCGTACAATGCGAGCGAAGACGACCAAGTTAGCTCGGAGGTTAGAATTCTCTCCCCATACGAGCAGCCAGCCTAGCGCCCAGCCCCCGTCCGGACGCGGCGGGCCCCGCGATTCTGGAAGCTCACCTCTTGCAGCATGTGCGCCGGCATCCTGGCTCTCCGCGGCGGCGATCGCGCTCCCAGGCCGAGACGGAAGGGGGATCTCGGAGCCCGCGGCTACCAGGCGATCGCTGGAGCTGCGCCCCGAGCCCTTCTCGGAGAGGTGTGCAGAGTGCTTCTGCCGTGCTCGGATCTCCCGGGGCTGAGATCTTTAAAGGGTAGAGCTGGTAAGGGGTGGATGCGTCCCGTATTTCCTCAGGCTCTTTTTATCCGTTGCCAGTAGGGTACAAAGTGCACAAGGCTCAGGCAGCCCCGCGTGGAGGTGAGGGCGGGAGATGGGAGGGGACAGAAAACTGAGACGAGAGCCACCCGGCCGGGATGCTGCAAACACCAAAACCGCGCTGCTCCAGCCCTGGCCTCTGGGGAAATGCTAATAAGGCTCCTGTAAACTCTGTCTTGTCATTGGCCAAAGGGAATTTGGTGCCACCTCGTCTTGCCGTTGCCATTGGCTCGGAGCAATCTGCTGTTCCCTCAGCCGCCAGCTCCTTGCTCCCCTCCCCTCCTTTTCTCCTTCTTGGCTTTTCTTCCTTGGGCCGGTGTACCTTACCACTCATCCCCCGGTTCGATGGCGCTCGAGAGGTTTCTCTCAGGAAGACGCAAAGGACTTTGTTTGCCGGTAGAGGTTGGGTGAATGTCCGGGAATTGCACCCTGACGCACAGTGAATGATTGGACACGGGCAAAATTGTCCAGGGAACAGTAAGGAAGCCTCGCAGGCGAACATCACTGCCAACTGCACTGTCTTCCCACTCCCCCAGACACTGGTTAACTAGGAGGGTGAATGCAGCTTCCTTCCCTCCCGAAGAGTAACTTGGGTTCTGCCCCGCCCACTAGCACTGGGATGCTAACCAAAAGTGGCGGGGTTCTGCCCGCCAGGTCAGTTTCACTGATCAGCGTGCCTTTACGAAGACAACAACTCTCAGTCACTGGGCAGGCTCTGCAGCGATGGCATCCATTAGAAGCCAGGGAGCAATTTCATCCTGGTGCACTCACCTTTAGAACCTGTACCCGAGGCTTGGGAGAGTCTGATCCTTTGGTTGGAATTTGGGGATCTTCTACAAATAATAAAACTGGAAGCACAGACAAGTGTTTGCACCCAACAACAGGCAAAGATTAGCATGTGAAATAAAAATAGCAAGCCCGTAGTGAGGGATCCCTCCAGGCCACCACTGTGAACATGTGAAGTGAGTACTTCATTGCTTTTTTTTTTCTTTTGTGCCAATCCTGGGGCTTGAACTCAGGGTCTGGGCACTGTCCCCACGCTTCTTTTTGCTCAAGCCTAGTGCTCTACCCCTTGAGCCACAGGGCCACTTTTGGCTTTTTCTGTTTATGTGGTAGTGAGGAATCAAACCCAGGGCTTCATGCATGTTACTCTGCCACTAAGCCACATTTCCAGCCCCCTTGAGCTTTTATTCAAGGCCAAGTGCTCTACCACTTGAGCCACAGTTCTACTTCCACTTAGGGATGCTTTTGTGGTTTAGTGGAGGTCAGTCTCTTGTATTTCCTGCCCAGGTTGGCTTCGAACTATGATCCTCAGATCTCAGCCTCCTGAGTAACTAGGATTTACAGGCATGAGCCACCAGTGACTTTGCTTTATTTTAAAGAGAGGTGATATATGGGAGAGATAAATAATTTGGTCATGGTCACAACAGCTGGTGGAACTATGCATTGGTCCCAGAAATTGGAAGCTGGAGCCAGGTACCAGTGGCTCATGCCTATAATTCTAACTACTCAGGAGGCTGAAACCTGGAGGATCACAAATCTCCATCTCCAATTAGCCAGCAAAATGCAGGAGTGGAGGTATGGCTCAAGTGGCAGAGCCATCAGTCATGAGCAAGAGTTAGCTATAGAGTTAGCTGAGCCAGAGTTAGCTATATGACCTAATTCCAAACCTGGTACTGTGTGTGTGTGTGTGTGTGCGCGCGCGCGCGCGCACACACACACACACACACAGCACTTCTGAAGCTGGTCCTACTGCCCTAGGCTTACTGCATAAAATCTGAGATGTGCTGATGTCTTAGATTTCCTGACTATCTTCTCTGGGCCTTTGTTAGCTGGATCAGAGAGCTATTCATTCGCCTAATCTGCTCCAGCTGATCAGCTACTAATCCATTGTGTCTGTTAAAACAAAGCACTATAGTTGGGGAGCTTTTATAACACAAATGTGTTTCCCAGGGTTCTGGAGGGTAGACCACCAGCAGATTTGAGTCTGTAAGGACTTTCACTCATCCCCGGTTGACAGGCAGCCATCTTTTTTGTCTTCAATGAGGAAGGAAAAGGTATGCGTAGGGCACTAATGTTATTCATAAGGGCTCTGCCTGCAGGAATTAATTACCTCTAAGTCTCAATTTCAAACACCATATGAAGTAGGGAGTTGGGGGGGGGGTTAGAATTCAGTATATTAGCTGGCGGAGGTGGCTCCTGCCTACAATCCTAGCTATTTAAGAGGCTGAGATCTGAGGATTATGATTAAAAACCAAACCAGGCAGGAAAGCTCAAGAAACTCTTATGTCCAATGAAGTACTTAATAAAAACCAAGTGGTAGAATACTAGCCTTGAGCAAAAGAAGCTCAGGAACAATACCCATGCCCAGAGTTCAAGTCCCAGACCCAGCGAAGAAGGAGGAGGAGGAGGGGGGGGGAGGAGGAGGGGAGGAGGAAGAGGAGGATGTGGAGGAGGGAGGAGGAGGAGGAAGAGAATTCAGTGTATTACACTTCTCTAGGAAAAAGATTCAGGATTTCTTTTGGGGGATATCCTTAATTATAACTAAAGATGGTTCTTCCTCTAAGGCCAACTTTCCTTCTCTATAACTGCCATTGCTTCTTCCAGACTCTGGACTTTGCATTCCTTTTCTACCAGAGAAAGCAAAAGGACACCTGCCAAGACAATAATAACAAAAGAGCTGGGTGCGGTGGCTCACGCCTATAATCCTAGCTACTCAGGAGGCTATCTGAGCATCAAAGCCAGCCTGGGCAGGAAAGTCCATGAGACTCTTACCTCCAACAAACCACTCAGAAAACTGGAAGTGGTGCTATGGCTCAAGTGGTAGAGTGCTCACTTTGAGCTGAAGAGGTGAGGGGCAGTACCCAGGCCCAGAGTTCAAGTCCCACAACTGACAAATAATAATAACAACAACAACAACAAAAGAAGTCATGATTCCTCTCCAAAGACAGGCTGCTTCCCTATAGAAAGCTCTGGAAGTCTAGAGAAGATCTGGATTAGGGGGAGAAATTTCAGGAAGAAAAGATTACGACCTATCTCAATTGTTGATAAGCTTAGAATGGTGAATGGATCACACAGTGTATACTACATGGTTGTTTGTATTTCAAACTTCCAAAGCTTACATATGCACACAAATAAGACTGTATAGTAATAGGGGAAAAGCAAAAGGATTAATATCAGAAAGTATGTAGTCAGTGTCAAATTGAAATTTGTAAATGCACATGTGATCATTATTTGTTTACAATATAATTTGTAATTTGATTGATATTTTATCTTAAAAAGGGAACATACTCAGTATACTTGAGAAATGGAGTTTAGAGCTATAAATATTCCTGTATGAAATGGAGCACAAAGTATCATGGCAGTTTTCAAACTTCATTTCTATTTTTCCACTGAAGAGAATAAAAAATGCAGGCTTTGTTTGTCCATCTTAAGTAAATAAGACATCAGTGGCAAGAAGTGTTACAAATTAATCTCTCAATTCAGTTCTTCTCAAGTGTTCCTGAGACTGCTACTTCAGGCAGAGGATTGTTTATTTTCATCAGGGTTAGGAGTGCAAATCTATGCTGTAATCCTTCTCTGGTTCACTGCCATTTCTCTTGGTGCCAGGGTTCTCCAGCTTGGGAGTACTGTGGTCTTCTAATTCCACATCGTACATGGCCAAGTGACACTGTTGTCCCAGAGGAATACTTTAATATGTAACTATGCCAGACTGTAATTTTCCCTCACCCATGTTCTTGGAAACTTGTCACCACTGTTGACATGAACTCTTCTAAGACATAATTTAGGATTGAATGATGTGTCTATTTCAGCCATTGTTCTGTTCTCCTTTATTAGTATACAAAATTTAGAGGTGCTTACATTGATGGAAAAGAGCTACCTATAAGTAATAATGTGTGATTATTTATTCATTCATTTATTATTTTGTGGTACTGAGAATTAGACCCAAGTATTTATTTTATTTTATTTTTTGTCAGTCATGGGGCTTGAACTCTGGGCCTGGGTGCTTCCCTGAGCTCGTCAGCTCAAGGCGAGCACTCTGCCACTTAAGCCACAGCACCACGTCCAGTTTTTCTAGTGGTTAATTGGAGATAAGAGTCTCACAGACTTTCCTGCCCAGGCTGGCTTTGAACAAGGATCCTCAGATCTCAGCCTCCTGAGTAGCTAGTATTACAGGTGTGAACCACCATTACCCGGCTTCCAAGTATTTTTTCTTAGTTCTCTGACCAGGGATTTCTTTTCCTTTTCAAGTGGGGCTCATGTCACCTCCTGAGGCTTTGGGGACACTGTAGCTCTCAAGTGACAATGGTCAAACTAGCATTCTGATTTGGATTTTAAATTGTGTTTTGGTCAGGGGCCCCCAGATGAGCAAACGGAACAAATTGTCCCAATCATGAGAGCAAAAGGTCAACAGCCTCTGCATATAAAGAGCTCATGTGATTGACAAACAACTAAATGCCAAAGTAATAAAAGAACAATTAGACTGAATAGGAACTCATATAAGAAGAAATGGATGCCACACAAACACTTGTCAAACATTGAACTTCAATAATAAAGAAAAGAAAGATATGTAATTTATCAAAATCAAAGACTTGACAAGCCCCACAACCAACAGAAAAAAAAATCCTGAATTACTTGCAATTTAGTTGGGTACTGATGGCTCACACCTGTAATCCTAGCTACTGAGGAGGCTGAGATCTCTGTTCAAAGACAGCCCGGGCTGGAAAGTCTATGAGACTCTTATCTCCAACTAACCACCAGAAAACCAGAAATGGCTCTGTGGTTCAAGTGATAGAGCTAGTCTTGAGCTGAAAAGCTCAGGGAAAGCACCCAGGCCCAGAGTTCAAGCCCCATGTCCACAAAAAAAGGACTTGAAAATATTCAATGTTGGAAAGATGAGATGAGATAAACATTCTTTTATATGTGTTTGTGTGCCAGTCTTCATAACATTATTTAGAATATTAACAAAGTAAGAAAACAGTATTATACATGAAAAATAGATTATGATTAACTGTATCATATATACTTTAAATCTATATTGCATATATATGTAAATACTATCTATATACTGTGACAACAGTAATTAAAATATCATTTTTTTGATATTGGGGTATG